TTTCTAAAAAAAGTTGGAACAACAGAGAAATGCAGGGCCCTATAAAAAGGGAGACAACATGGCTTCATTTGGTGTAATGCTTCAATTACACCAATTATAAAGCTGTAATGATTTAATAACACCTATAGCTAAAGTGTAATGTAGAAACTGCAAATTTGATCGCAAAAAGGTGTAATGCTGCAAAAACACCCATCAAAATGTGTAACAGCAGCTACCAAACGGTGTGAGCTATGGACATGGGATAAATTGTCGATTACACCTATATAGGTGTTATGAAGTTTACTGTGCATGTTCAAGGCGAGAAGCAAGAAAAATTTGAGTTATATCTCTGATGGGTAATTAGACATAGGAAAAGTAGGTAAGTTTTACAGAAATATTTGTTTATATTAAAGGGGCACTGAAGTGATTTTTGAAAGTGGTCGTTTTTGATCTTATAATGTGTAAAATGTGTTAGTTCCCACATATGCCAAGTCCTATACTACAAAACCGCCTATTCATCTCAGGGCAATATAAAAACATCTGGACTCTTTTTTTCACGCGGACTACATTGTGTGGACCAATAAAAGCCCTACAAAATAAAGACTCCTCTTTTTCTCAGCGAGTGAAGCCATCGCTTGCAACTAGCCAACAAGCGCCCTTCGTCGACTACTTCACCCGGAAGAAAATTCTTCGCAAAAAGGTCGTGTCGCCATTTTTGAGCACGCTTTTTAACGAGGAATTAAGCTACGCACGGCGGTGGTTTCGGATTAGTTAGGATGCTTAGAGCGTCTAGACTGAGTTGTCACCACAAAAGGGCGATCTTAGAATAGATTTCCTGTGCCCCTTTATTATCACCTTATGAAAGCTGCAATATATGTAAAAATTGAAGAACACGAAGAACAATTGGTATTTCTTTGCTGAAAAGACAAAACAAAAAAGTGATGAGTTACAAACTCAAGCCGCCTCCCCCTCCCCCCCCCCCCCCCTAATTTTCTTTAACCGCGCCCTTGTAGCTCATAATCCGAACCTGATAGCAGTACCCCAGACTAGCAGTAGTACTGCACTGGCTAAATTTCTCACCTGCAGCAGACACACCAGTCGCACAGTGGGGCTGACTAACTTCACGCTGTCCGAACATACACACAATTTTTAGAGCGAAATTGCACCACGTGAAAGGGGCTTCACAAAGTGAACAATGTTTTTCGCTCGTGCATAAAAATTAAAAAAAAAAGTGTCACATACATTTAAAATGGAACAAGTTCAAATTTTGCCGATAAAGCGATGTGGCATGCTATTAGCATGTTTGTGATTGCTTTTAGAAATCCCGAGGCCTACATACATGTTCCTCTATTCACTTCAACTTTTGCCGAAGGAGTTTGGTTTCAGACTAAAAACGATGTCTGAAATAAAACATTGCATATGAGTGTGTTCAAAATCATACCTAATAATTTTCGAATGTAGCGGATCCCCTACACTCTTTTATGATCTGGCGAATGGTGTTTTAAACTCTTTAGATCAAACTCGGATAATTGCATACACTCGCATATTTCATAATCTGATCCCTTTATACTCGGCTTGTGTGTTTTGGTCTTGCCACTACGTCAGTACCTTAATAGGTGGGAACAGCGCAGGAAAAACCGACGAAGGACGAGTAGAAGAAGTGCACAAACACAGCGCTGACTAACAACTGAATGTTTATTTTCAAGCGAACCAGAAAGTAAACACTGGGTGTGGAGAGGAAAAAACAAAGAAGCCAATAAAAAGGAGGGAACCCGATAAAACAAGACACTACCACGCCATATCACTATCACACACGTCTGCCACAGTTCTTGATAAAAAACACTTCGTCAGCCCCCAAGTTAACCGACGGAGCACTGACGCATTCTTCCTCCCCCCTTGATAAAATATAAAAGGCCTCATCAATCTCCCGGGCTGTCTTGTTTTTGTTGCGCGCCAAGATCGTCAACTCATTGAACAGGGGAACGCAGCCGCACCTACTACAATGTACCGCAAGGTGGCCAGAGGGTGAGGAACGGAGAGCAAGGGAATGCTCCCTCGCCCTCACGTTCACACACCTCCCTGTCTGTCCAATGTAAACCCGACCACATGTGAAGGGGATCTGGTATACAACCCCTACTGCGCATGAGACAAACGGATCGCGGTGGTTAACATCACAGTGGTTATCCCTGTTCAACCCTCGGTTAACGGCGGAGCATAGTCGAGATAACTTCCGGGGCGCCGAAAACACCACAGGCACCTTATACTTGTTGGCCACGCCAACAAGCCAACGTTCCTCACCCTCTGGCCACCTTGCGGTACATTGTAGTAGGTGCGGCTGCGTTCCCCTGTTCAATGAGTTGACGATCTTGGCGCGCAACAAAAACAAGACTGCCCGGGAGATTGATGAGGCCTTTTATATTTTATCAAGGGGGGAGGAAGAATGCGTCAGTGCTCCGTCGGTTAACTTGGGGGCTGACGAAGTGTTTTTTTATCAAGAACTGTGGCAGACGTGTGTGATAGTGATATGGCGTGGTAGTGTCTTGTTTTATCGGGTTCCCTCCTTTTTTTTGGCTTCTGTGTTTTTTCCTCTCCACACCCAGTGTTTACTTTCTGGTTCGCTTGAAAATAAACATTCAGTTGTTAGTCAGCGCTGTGTTTGTGCACTTCTTCTACTCGTCCTTCGTCGGTTTTTCCTGCGCTGTTCCCACCTATTAAGATGCTTAACCAACTCGCCCAACTCTCTGCCGTGTTGAACGTCAGTACCGCCCACGCCGGCTCCCGGCATTGATTACATGTGAAGCAACGGAGAGTTGCTTTGTGCGCTACACAATAGCACTCGCTCCAAATTATTTGCGAGGTCATCTAGCGCCCTTTTAAATACAATTTCACGGTGGTGCACATGACAGTGGTGTCGCAAAAACGTCCAACAGGACGTAAAGAGACTATAAAATTTTCTAAAGAAAACTAAAAAGTGCCAAGTCCGTTTCACTTTCTAAGAAATGCTTGGTATCATTCCGTTTAGAATATCAAAGATGGGCCCTTTAAATTGTACTAATTTATTCGGAACTCCCGCGTTTCTCTTTGGACAACTGAAAATCCCTCGTTTCTCTTTGGACAACTGAAAAAATGAAAGACGTTTACAAATCTCCGTAATGCGAAATAAGAGCGCAGCTGTTGAGGAAGAGGAGGGGAAGATATGCCCCTTCTCCTCTCCTCTTTACCGTCCCCTCCTCCTCTCCTCCTGCCGCTGAATTTGTTCATAGGTGACGTGACACGAAGTTGTGACGCGATTTTTCCCGCTAAATTTAACGGGGAAACTTTTTCGATAAATTTAGTGGGGAAATTTTTTTCGCTAAATTTAGCGGGTTAGCAGGAAATTTTCCCCATAACTTCAACGTGGAAACGTCCCATAATGCAACGCGCGCATTTAAGCCGACGGCGACGCCGCTTAATCCGGAAGAGGGCGCCGAAGAACTGCCCTCTAAAAGAAGATTTCTCACATGGGCTTCTCACCTCGCTGTCTGGAAGAAGAAAATTCTAAAAATCAACACTGGTTGACTGCACACGAGTTAAAGGCACGAAACAATGCCCCAGTCTTGGTCTTACCTTTGGCTTCGCTGTTAACTTCCTTTGTTTCTTCTCGGGTAGCATTACGGTACTACTGACACAGAAGCGACGCGGCGTGGCCACGAATGGCAGGACAAACTTTGGCTCAGTTTTCTTATCCCGAAAAATAAGTAAAATGTGCCAAATTCGAGATATGACATATCTTGGTGGGCCTAAATCTGGGTAAATTCGGCACTGAAAGAGATTAGCACAAATGATTGACAACCGGAACGATGAAATCGCCGCACGCGGTGCCTCGTCGCCGCGAATACACCGAGTGCGAGAATGGTTTGGTCGTTCCTACCTTTTGAACTCGGGGCAGCATCGGCAGATCGTTATCGTTTTTAAAAAACGTTTTGCTGTATCAATACTGCCATCTATGATCATTGCCGCTTCAGCATCGTCAAAACTGTCAAAGACAGTAAATCAGTGACTAAGAAGATATCGCTGTTGTCAACGAGCAAGAAAACAAAAAGAGGAAGTCCTGGCACATCGTTATTGTTTTTAAAGAAACTTTTGCTACATCAATACTGCCATCTATGATCCTTGCCGCTATAGCGTCGTAAGAACTGCCAAAGACACTAAATCAGTGACTAAGAAGAAATCGCTGTCATCAACGAACAAGAAAAAAAAATGGAAGCTTCGGCAGTTCGTTATCGTTTTTAAAGAAAGTTTTGCTATATCAATACTGCCAGCTATGATCATTGCCGCTTCAGCGTCGTAAAAACCGACAAAGACAGTAAATCAGTGACTAAGAAGATATCGCTGTCATGAACAAGCAAAGAACAAACAAAAAATAAAGCTTTGGCATATCGTTTTCTTTTTTAAATAAACTTTTGGTATATCAATTCTGTCACCTATGATCCTTGCCGCTTCAGCGTCGTAAAAACTACCGAAGACGGTAAAGCAGTGAATAAGAAGGTATCGCTGTTATCAACGAGCAAGAAAAAAAGAAGCTTTCGCAGATCGTTATGGTTTTGAAGAAAGTTTTGCTATATCAATACCGCCATCTATGATCCAGGACGCTTCAGCGTCGTAAAAACCATCAAAGACGCTAAAACAGTGACTAAGAAAGAAGATATTGCTGTTATCAACGAGCAAAAAGAAATAAAAAAGAGCCCACGTGAACAGTCAAACATGGCAGGCGAACACCTGAGGCAGAGAAGCGGAGTTTCGAAAGCGCGTTTTGTGAACGGCTGCTGTCAGCCTGCCTTTCCCGTGCTTCAAGAATGGCACCCCGGAGGCAATCTCGTTCCCGTTGTGTTTACGCGATTGCAGCGCCACATGTCACCCTTTCCTGTGCCCGGCAATCACTCGTTTGTGCAAATATCATTTAGTGCCGGCTGTACACAATACATACACTACAACGCCGAAACACACAGATCGCAATACTGTGCGATACAGGAGGAATGCGGTTTTAACATTGTAATAGTTTATTTGTTCTCGCAAACGGACCAGTAAAAATGTTCGTTGTCGCTGCGTGAATAAACGCTTTTTTTATAAAACAACACACAAGGCAGCACTCACCACACCACGCGATTGCGTTTCCCGAAGAATGCAGTCCATTGTATGGTCTGCAATCCGCTGTCGACTGTCGCGATCGAGATTGCGGCTATTATAGACTCCTGGACCAAAAGCACCCGAGGTACTCAACTCGACGTTGAAATAACTCTTCTATTGACTGTCGTGCTTTTCCCTCGACAAGCCGCTACAATGTGTTACGATAATTCTGTCTGCTGTATAGTACACATCAAGGAAAGCTCATCGGTGTTAGCCGCCATCCTCCCGGCATGGACACTTAGGGGGTTTTCATAGACCGTTCCCGCCGTCCCGCTACACTGTCTGCAACGACATTCAGAGCTCTGCAGAAAAGTATAGCAACGTCCTCGTTACAGCGAGCGTAGCGGGAAAAAAAAATCGGTCTACGAAAACCTTTTTTTTTCCTGCCACATCGTGCCCAACGCCGGAGTAGTCGTTGTTAGGGCACATTGACTACACCCCTCCGCACACATATCACTTTTTTTCCTTTTTTTTTTTTCTTTTTGCCGAACGCGATGCTGGGGCTCTGCTGAGTCCACACACCAGAATACGCAGTGCAGCTGAGGTCACTTTTTTTTTTTTCTTCATCTTCCGAAAACTGAGCCTTATCCGGACACGCATTATTGTGTATCGTTATAGAGTTATAGTTCACAAGAGCACCACTAAGGCGTCGTCATCAGTAGGTGGCCTCGGTTTCGAAAACCTCAGTCTTAAACGCCTGAACACTGATCTCCTGCATCGTCTTGAAATTCGTCGTCTCGGGCGGCGAGGGGATCGGGGTGTCGGGCTGCGGCCGGCTGCCCAGTGCCTCCGCGTCGGCCCGGCTGCCCTGGTGGCCGTTGGCCAGGTTCTCCAGCCCTGCGCTGCTCTGCAGGATGGACTGGTGGATGACGCTCGACACATTCGGCTGCGGGAGCATGCTTGAGATAGACGCCTGGCAATCGGAAGATGACCCTGGGGGGGAATCGCCGAGCGCGGGCGGAGACAAACGTGAGTATCTCTCCGCCAACTGTTATCCTCGCTCGAAAGTGCGCACGAAACGCTCTTCTATTTGCGTCCCACAGTTTTAACGGACCCGAGACGGCCCGTGCAAGACACTTCCTGGCGTGACCAGGGACGACTCGGCCGAAGCGACTGACAATAAAACAGCGCACGGCATAGCCCAACTCAACTGAAAGCTCGCAAGTGTGTTCTCTATTCACAGGAATACGTTAAGCAGCGTGTGGTCGGCTACGATTTAAAAATAATACACATATACAGTCAGAGACAGTTTAAGAAACAAAGGACGTGGCAAGTTCCTTGCAGATCATTTATGACAGTGTGGCATTATCCGATAAGAACGTCAAAGAACCAATCCCGAAGCAAGATAAGCTTTCGCTGAGTATACTGGTAGAAAGTGAGGGAGAGGAGGGCATGGAGAGCCCGCGGCGATGTCTGAACACCGAGCTCTGGTTTGCTGGTTTGAATGATTAATGGCTGCATTCCAAGCTATCGCTACCTTGGTTTACGAAAATACGGACTGCTAAAGCTCCCCAAGGTCTAAAGTCTGCTTCACACAACTGCTTTGGTTGCGTTCGCATGCAACCAAAATGATTATGGGGACAAAGTCACGGGGACAAGTGTTCGCCGTGCACTGCATGTCAGCGATGCAAGGGATAACTTAGCGAAGCAATCCATGAGTCGCGGTTGTTGCGGTGTTTCGGCTGCAAGCGAACGCGACAGTTGCAAATGTGTGAACCATCCTTAACTCAACGATGCGATTCTTTGCCTTGGCATCCGCTACAGTCTAGCACGCGTTTTGTTGTTACTGTTTTATGTGCGTGTGCGTGCCCGTGCATGTGCGTGACCGTGCGCGTGTCTGTCCTCGTACATGCGTGAGTGTACGCTGTTCTTAATGACACCACACACCGTTGAATTTCAAGATACCCTCCTTCTAATAACAAAAACGTCCAACGAAGGTGTTTTGTATCACGCGAGCAGATTTCGGTTGCCGCTTTTTTTCCCACGATATCGCCGAGAAGAGAAAACGATCTGATGTCCCAGGTTTGGGGGCTAGCGTAGCATAACACTCGGATTCGCAACTGAGCAGCCTGCTGTCACCCTCTCTGTGTTTAGTCTCCTTTGAAACTGCGCTCACAACACTGGCGAACGTCGGCGTCCCTGCCAGCATAATCCGAGTACGCTTGTATCTGATAAAAATATTTGCCTTGCGACCGATTCGCACTGGCCTCGCAAAGACAAAACACGGGACGTTATGCGACGCCAGTTTTTTCGTCTCTGTGTTTAGGTTACTCTTCTGGGACAACGACCACGCGTATTTGTTTGTTGGATTCGCGTCTCGTTCACCCCCGGTTTGTTGATTTAAAGCTGCCCGAATTTTTTCTTCTTGTTTTACACGCGCGTTTATCGGCACCCGAGGTCGGTCGTTCCTTGGTAATTTTTTTCTGGGCCATGATTTTGGTTTCATAAGATTGTTTTGGCATACTAATTAGCGCAATTAAATAACATAAAATTAATAGTACGTCCTACTGTTTTTTGTTCTCGCCTTCTCACGTGCTATATTTCTCCTTGAAGTACCACAATGCGAGCGCACGGTGAACTTCAAACGAAACAAGGGCTACTTCGTGTACACGTGGTAGGATGTGTGCAGTGATTCCATCACTGCTATCTTTGACATCCTTGCCGGCTCATACTGCACGTACCCTGATTGTAGAAAGCCTGAGGGCCCACCATGCCGCCTAGTAGCATTTCCTGCAGGAGATTGTCCACCTTCGTCATGCCGAATAACTTAGCGAACTGAATTTGTTCGATCATCTGCCACGTGATGCTCTGGAGCGTCGGCAGCAAGAGCATGATCTCGCCAAACCGGCCTCTGGAGTCGTATTGCCGGTCGTTGATGTAGTCCTCAAGATTCGTCTGCACCTGGTACCGCAGCGCCTTGATCTTCTGGGGCTCGCTGAGGCCCTTCGTGTCTGCGAAGCACAACAGGCATTTTTAGGAGGTTAAATAATGTTGTCATTCTCAAATTCTCTGTCTTCGCGCTCAAGTCGATTAGCCATGCAAGCGTATGTCATTCTAAACAGATTCAGTTTTTTTTTTTTAATTATTTATTTTTTTGCTTGCTGTGTATATGGGTACTTAAGCTTCGAGGTTGCTTATGTTAGCATGATAATTCAATAATTGCCTCGCTTTGCGTAATAAAGACTCGTGAACTAGGTACATGAAAATTTCAGCTGAAGTGAGTGCTGAAAACTTTAAGAATGCCGTGTTTCGGGGACGTCATTCAAAAATCGCCATCTACGTTAACGGGGACGCGATGCATGGGCCATGTCTACTCAGTCATTTTTATCGACTGCTTTAAAATATAAAAAGAAAAATTAAAAAAATAGAGTTCTTCATAGTCACTGGTGGCTCTAGAACGGCTCATCTAGGCCAATTCCGATCATTTCATTATCCCGGGGCAACCACTGGAATTGCAGCGCTATCAAAACCGAAACGATGTGAACCATTCACGAAGCGAACGAAGACAATACGTCATGTTCTCTCCTTCCTAAGCTGTCGATCACTGTACAAAACATGTCGCAATGCGTCTTCGTTGGACGCACGTGTTATCGCTGTATTTAGCAATGGAAGAAACAATCCAAAGGGATTTCTCATAAGGATCGCTATTCGGCACCAAGAGTTCCAAGTCTCGTAAACAGCTAAATCTGTTGCGTTGTATAGATGGAATAGTGTACGGCTCCCTCCACCCAGACATCTCAATCCCGCCTCATGGTGCGCAAACGAATCCCTGAAGTGTACAATTCATACGTATACCAGAAAACGAAGGCCTAAGCAGGCTGGCAACGCCAAAGGTCGTCGTTGTGGGAGGTTCGAGCTCACGTGGGTCGAAGAAAACGATGGCTCGGAGGCAGGCGAATTCCGTGTCGTCGATGTGCACTTCCCGCAGCGTCGTCACTAGCTCGTCCATGATGCGAGCGCCGACGCGACTGATCTCCACCTCGGACGAGACGCGAGGGATTATGAAGTCGTTTCCCAAAAGCAGGACGTTCTTGATGTGCATAGAACGCCGCGCCAGACCAAGCAGCAGATGCTCGCCCGCGTGGGCACGCAGCAATGCCACCTGAAAGCGGCCAACGGAATCGTTTAAGCCCTCTAGAAAATTTCGCCGCGTTTACCTTCCAACAAATAACTCAAAGGGCTAATCACTGCGGTTTACGAAGGAAGCTCGACGAACGACGATCCCAAGGTATGTTTACAACTAAAAATAATGTCTTCGGTGTGGCCCCGAGCATGGCGTTTCACATGCTCGCGTTGTGCTCAGTGTACCATCACAGTTTTAATTTTTAAGTCAAAGTATAGCGTCAGTCCCGTCATTCTCTGAGCTCTCTGCGCAGATCGCAGTGATCGGCGCCTCGAGTGCTCTGCGCGAAAGTAAATGCGCGGGTATTTTTCAGAGTGTGACGCTACCAAGACCACGCCTGCTTCATTCATAACGAGGTATTCATCCAAGATGAGGAAGCCAGGCCCAGTCATATTCTGGGACGAACAAGACGCGGAAATGGGGATGGAAACATAATCTATTAAAAAGAGCTCGCCGCACTCGGCAAAAGTACATAGGGTATATTGCTTTGTCTACGCAGCTGAAAAATCAAACAAAGATTTCCAATAGAAATTAATGTTATGTTTCCGTGTATTGTGATTTATCGTAATCGTGAGGAGTAATCAGTGAAGTAAAATTCATTTTGACCCGATGTAAATTTTGCTTACAAAATATCTGTTCTGCATCTCACTCTTCAATTACTTATACACTCTAAAAAAAAAAACACCGTGCGTCTGCTTTCCCGCACAACACTCGGAGAGCCAATCACCGCAACTTACAAAGGCAGCTAAGCGAATGATGATGCCGAAACATATGTTTAGACCAAAAACCGAGTTGTGACATTAAGCAATGCAAGCGTGACGTTTTGCATTGTTTAATGTCACAACTCAGTCTGCGTTCTTTGGTCTAAACATATATTTCGGCATCGTCATTCGCTGAGCTGCCTTTGTAAGTTAAGTTGCGGTGATTGGCTCTCCGAGTGTTGTGCGGGAAAGCCGACGCACGGGCTTTTTTTAGAGTGTACGTTTCAGTTTCAGATCGTTTGTAGGTGTCCAACTTTCTTGCCTGGTCTTCAATCGACAGTTCCGTGAAGGAAGGCACAGATTTGGCCCAGTCCACCAGTATCAAAAGCTGTTGCTTCATAGACTCGCAGACGTCGCTAATGTTGGCCACCTTCTTGTTCGAGATGTTGAAGTCGTTCACGGGACTGCTAATCTGAAAGAGGAGGGAAGCAACAAGGCGGGGAGTTGGACTAGTTGGTTGAGCCTTATTGAAGTGAAACAAAACGTAGCAAAGTACGGAAGACAAGTTGGGGAAGTACACACGCAGAGTACTGTTTTACAACTGAAGCTCTCATCTCAAATACGCTAGAGTTGACAGGGGAGAAAGAAGAGAGAGGGGGGGGGGGGGGGGGGCGAAACGTTTTAAAGCTTCCATTCGCAGTAGAGTTCTTCAAATAATACGTTTTTTATAACAAACAGTGCAGAACTCAAAGTATTTCTTGCAATTCTTTGCGTAATCATATAACAACCTTGAGCATTTTAAAACGAAATACCGAAGGGCAGAGCTCATCTTGTCAGAAGCACCAAGTAGAAATTTCTAGTCTCTGTTTTGACCAGCTATCGTTCGGGGCATTTCCATTGTAACGAAGATAAGTCGTCCTACGCAATTGAATGTTCCCCAACGTAAATCGTCTACTCAAGATGAAGCTTTAAGCATCCAGAGAAAATACCTGAAGGGCGCACAAATCTATGCATAGCATGAAGGCAAAGGTTGAAACCAGACATTACTTAATGAGAGCTCATAATCTATAGGATTTTTTTTTTGTAGTTGTTGTTCTCGATATATTAATTCAAATATACATTTTCCTTTCAATGAAGTAAAGGCATTCGCCATACAAGGCATTGCCACCTCTCATTACACATATCGTAACGTATGAAAATTCCAGTTTTTTTTTTTTTTTTTTTTTTTTTTTTTTTAGCAACGAAACGAAGCGTTATTTTATAAAACAGTACATGGACCACGGAGAAAAGAAAAAGAAAAAAGCGAAGGCTGCCTCCTTTTCAGGGCATTAGAGGCCCACTGACTCAGTTTGCAGGGTCACGAGATACTCTGGCTCCAACGCTTATTTTCTAGCGCGCTGGAACACGTGGATGTCTGTGAACTACTGGCAGAGCTAATGGAAGAGGAAGAGGCCTGAACCACATCCCCGCGTTTCTTATCCGAATTGCCACTTCCATTGTGGAACATGTAGACAGGCCAAACGGCTATATGCTTCCGATACAAAATATCAAAAGCCTCATGTCATGAAATTTGTTTTCTCGCAAGTATGCTCGTATCCCCCGCCACGAGACATCTGGTCACGTCGCTGCTCATCGTCTATTGCAGAAGTCCCCAAATTCGTTAATCTCGAGGAACGCCCACGTCTATACCTCGATAGCCGAGAGACCGTAGCCGGTCTTGGCATTCATGCAATGAAGCAACCCGCGGCCGCCTTCTGGGACATTCCGTGTAATAAAAAAGTTTCCAAGAAAATGTCAAAATTATAATTGATCTGCCTTCCATGATACACATGCAATTAGAATCATCGGGAACATTACGATATTTTGTCATAGACATGCAATAAATTAATAATTTTGTGTATGTGGCCTCTAGGATTCAACGCAAAGAAACTCTAGAGCCGTGGAATAAAAGAACTATAGGCGTACAAAAGTTTAATTACTGCTTATTAATATTTTATGACTGTCATCTGAGATATTCCCGGGGAACATTGTGATGTTTGTTGTTGCTCAGAAGTTGTTGGAATTCCCCAAGAAGTTGCTGTAGAAGACATTAGGGGATGCACAGATTCTGTAAAGAGTAATACTCCAACTGGAGACAGATACGTTATGCCTCACCCGGGTGGCTCAGGTCTTCTGAAATAGTGCTTAAACGGCAAGAACCCTTTAGTTGCTGGAAGGGATGGTCGACGAAATTGAGAGATCTCGGGGAAGCCCTGAGGGTACCTTCGTTTCAGACGCAACTGGCGCTGCGAGCTGATGAGTCCGACCAGACAGCGTCAAAAGCGCACCATCATGGTGTGTTTGTCATGTTTCTGTACATGTTCCGTCATCGCTGGACCAACCATTAACAGGAAAGGCCCAGTGACTTGCGCCATTGACGCTGCGTGATTCGTCCCATTTTCTCGTGGCCCAGGCGGTGTCTGGACTTATAGAGCAACTGACAACCCCAACGTCGATATTTATTCACCGTCTCAAACGCTTCAAAAGCGCGTGGCAAACACACACACACACACAAAAAAAAAAGTCAACACGATTTTTTTTGTTGTTGTTTTGTATTTTGCGCGAAAGAGTTTGTTTGAGTTTGTATCCTCCTCTCTCAATTCGAGCTCCACCTCGCTTCTTTATTTCTTTTCTTCTTTTTTTTTTTGTGACGTGATTGGCGAAGGCAGTTTTGAAAACGTTCAGAGGGGTCGCAGGTTGCATGTCTGCAATGTCTATGATTGTAATTGATAAAATGCTTTTTATATGACGACTATAAAAGCACGACACTGCTGACTTTGAAAAATAAAAATCCGACACCTGAAGTGTTATTGACGAAACATCGGCCGTCTCCTAGCTTTTTTTCTTCCTACTCTCAATATGGCGTGATGCCCGAAGGTTCGTCCGAACGGCAGCACGTTTCAGTTGAGGTTGAAAGTCAACTCCCAACGATTTGGAGACAGTGACGTTCCTTTTTTCGCAGTCCTTGTCGACAAAGTGGTGAGAACAGATCGGGGATTGCAGCCAGTCACGCATTATTTTGCGATTCATCTTTTGGAAGACTTGCGTAGCACGGCACGTGTAGATTTCGTAGTACTGGGGCAGAACTTCTCACTCAGCATCTTTGCGACATCGCCCCTCACATCGCTCACCAAGGTCTGCTACACGTAGATTTTTTTTTTTCCTTGCCTGTTTTAAAAATTGTTTTAGACGTACTAACACTACTAAAAACAAACAGGAACTAAAAAGTGACACGTCGTCTGCACGCTAGGGAGGTCTTGCGAAATACTCTCGTGGTTGGCCGGGTGGCACGTGCGCGTGCCCGTGAGCGATGAAAGGAAAAGAAAACAAGTTAAACGACACTTCCTGTTTGATGTCATCCAAAAAAACAAGGAGTGCAGCATTTCGCTAACACGTCATAAATTCGGGCGGACGTTTCACATCCAACTTTTTGAACATATTTTTTCCCCCTTGCCAATGCGCAGTTTTCAAGCTTCATAGTTTTAGGTTAATCCCTAGGGGTCATTTTCAGTCGCTTGCAATAATAATTTAAAAAAAAAAAATATACCGATGTCGGGGTTGTCAGTGGCTCTTTAAGTTGAAACGAAGGTCTATAGAGCTATAGCCAAAAGCTAAATTGGTGGCTTCTTTACCCGAAATGTTTCGTGGACAGGCGTTTCTGGCGCACGAGGAAAGTAGACAGATTCGGCTGATGTATCCAACGGTGTCTAACTTTTTTTTTTTTTGCTATATTTCTGTCGCTGTATTAGAAAATTTACCTTTTTTTATGTGTAATAAAAATTATAAATAAATCAAGCTGCACCAAAAACAGTCGAATAAAACGTGCCATAAAAATAAAGACGACGGCCATCACGATCGAGAACAATTATTGGTCTTTCTTACCAGTTAATACTAAAGAACGTCGGGCAGCGAAAAAAAAAATGGGGGGGAGAAGGGAGCGATCTGGAGACGGCGCGTGCCTTGCTTTCACACCTGCCATTGGTCGTAACACTGCAGCAACCCGCTGACGGAGTCTTATCTCCCACGCGTTTACCAACTGACATTTATATTTATACCGGGCGTGCATCCGATCGCGCCGCCATTTTTAGCGCGCTTGCTCCAGATTTCCCTTCCGAGCGAAAGTTTATTCTACTATAAAGCTCGGAGGCCTCCGTGCTGCCAGGCTCGAAAAGGGTATCATATTTCGCTCACTACGAGAGGTGGACCAAAACGCACTTTTGCAGACGGTATCACCTTGCCAAGGCGAGCACGTTTCTATTATGTAGCAATTTTCTGCGTCAAAAAAAAAAGCGGAAAATACGAGAGTTTACGGCCAGAAGGATGCCGGATGTGTCACGTCCCGGTGCGTATTGGCCGGAATGAGAAAGGGGAGGATGAGGTAGAGGAGTTTACTTTATTGCAAAGACGCCGAAACAACGCACTCTACCAAAAAAAAAAAAAAAGGTTAGCGTGTTTGTTGTTTGCAGAACACGGGGAGAGCCAATTATGGAGAAAAAGAGAAGGATCCCAGCGAATCAGAAAGCTCATAATACGATTGGATCCGAAAATAGGATGTGCGTAGACACCATGACGTAACGTTACACTCCCTATAGTTTTTGCAAACATTGCATTTTTCGGACCTAATCGTATTATAACTTTCGTCATTCGCTGGGTTCCTTCTATTGTTCGCCGTAGATCATTGTAAACTAGCAAACATTTTTTTTTAATGCGGTTTTTGTTGAGGACATACGTAGAGAAATTATATTTTCGGCGGTGTAAATCCATCACTCAATATAATAGCACGATGCAGAATTTAGATTTCTGAAATCTGACAGATGAATATGACCTTTCCTTTTTTTTTTTTTTTACGACAGGCTACACACTTTTGATTGGATTTTTGAGGTTTAAGAATAGTGTTTAACGAGTTAAGGAATTGCTTTCAGGCATTTACCTGGTATAATTACCGCGTCACAACCCTGATCTGACGTCCACCGAGGTCGATAACGTTATCCTTTTATTTCAATTGCTCTTTTTACAAAATGATTTTCAGTCAAGAAAGCAAACAACCCCGTACAGGTGGAGGACCTAAAATTCGTGCATAAAAAACTACGAGAGCACTTAAAAACTGGACTCCATGGAGCGAAAAAAAAAAAAAAAAGCGAACGAATTTCGCCATGCGGTGTTCGCTCTGCGCGACGAACTTCGCCCCCGGGCAAAGTTAGTCGGTTCTTCGCCGCATATTCCCTCTGCCAGTTCAGCCTTTTCGCCTTATGTCTTTTGTGACCTCTAGGCCAATTACCTCCGAAGAGATTCCACTTTTCCGGTTGCACGCACATGTCCGGCTACATCGACGTTAGCCGTGTTAATTTCAACGACTCGTACCTTAGACAGCCGAAAGCTCCAGCTGAACAGTTTTAATAGCGCACCTGGGTCCCATTCTATTAATAAGCGAATGTTGATTATACAGGGACATCGCCTCCAACAGTGCGCTTATTGTAACGTAAGTGCCCCAATAAAAGCCACACACTTTGCTCTCCTTCGATCTATGACAAAATAAAATAAAAGGGAGATGTTTCCCGCTCTAAAATGCAGCCGATTAGCGCATCACCATTGAAGTTTGCTACTAGCCGAACTCAGCCCAAGCTGTGCCAAGTTTAAAATTTTAACATAACTTTTTTTACTTAAATGTTTGATATATTTTGTTACATAGACGTCGCAAGTTTAGAAGAAAAAAAATCATTCGAATAGTTCATTTTTTTTTTTACATTACGCCGTTGTTGCTAAAACAAAAATTAGCTGTGAGGCCTCATTGTTTAGACTGAGCGTTTCCAATCGATGTTCACAGCCAGTGATTTCCAGAGGTGTGTAAGCTCTCGAGACATTTCCAAGAAGGTCGAACAAGATAATGCACAATGCATATCCTGGAGGAAACGATATCGTTTAAACGTCAACCTATCACGGCTTTTTCTTCCTTTTTTCTTTTCTTTCACGTCACAAGAACCCAGTTACATTTTATCGGGAGTTATCAGGGGCTATCTTCCCTTCCTGGTCTACAACTGAGCAATCTACGAGATCAGAAGACGTGTACTTACATTTCTTGAGTACATTTCCGCATTGAGTAGGTTCGTTACCGAAAGTCCCGCAGAGTGATTAGACTCATCGTAACTAGGTCTTCGGCAGCTGATTCGATCTCGCTCATTTTGGACAGCTGAAACAGACACAAGACAAGAGCCCCGTGTTGCATTAACACTATTTACTCCAGGAACGTTCCCATGCCTTTACATTATTTGAAAATTTCGACACGGAATCACTCTAAATGTAGCTTTCTTGGTACGCTGATGCGTAACTCATTTTAAATCTCACGGCTTGAAAATTACAGCCTTATAGGTCTTCTACATTGCTGGCTTCCAAAAAAAAAAAAAAAAAGGTTTGTCAATAAACTTTAAGTGCTAATTTTTTGTAACGATATTTGAAAGTGAAAAGTTAAATCTCATTATCCCCCAATTATATATATATATCTCCTTTTCCATCTTCCACCCCCCCCCCCCCCTTTTTTTTTTCGTCGTTTTGATAATGCAGTGCATTTCCTGTGGGTTATTGCGGCTCTGAAAACCACACATGGAAGGAACCAAACTGTTAAACTTCTGCAGGCTTTTCTTGGAGTTCGGAAACACTCTCTTCGAACACTCTAAACAAATGTTGGCTTGATTTCCATTCAAAGCTTGCTAATTTATTGTATGTTTGACACGGAATGCGAACTGCCTTGTGGTAAAACTTGGTTTTTCAACACCCCTAATCATTTGATGCGTATAAAATTCGTCAGGTCAATCTTTTATTGGCTAGCGTAACCCTCATTTTCCTAAACGCGAGACGTGCCAAAAAAAAAAAAGGTATCACATAATTACCGTTTCCTGAACTGCCTTTTTTTAACGTGTATCACCATTATGTGGGCGCATGTACACCAGGATATTTCTTCGAAAAGTTCGCGCGTGTTCAGCTACATTTCATTCCCACTTTTATAATACGAGCCCCATTCACACCCACATCCGTACTTATAAAGATACGTGACAAGGGCAGAGGAAGGACAGACAGCACAGAGCGCTATCATGTTTCCTCACGTACAATACCAACTCGCCGAACAATCAGCACTTTACAAAGACATTCCAGAAAGTTACATCATGAAAATCTTTAATCGCAACACTTAAAGAAAAAAAAAATGTGCGTTCTAGACGACGAGTTCAGGCTTCCAGCAGTCGCGAGCCCGCCACCTGATGTGTGTACGCATCGACCGAGTCTGCGGTCGCCTGGAAGCCAGCATTTCCTGGCGGAAGAGGTGAACATTGTTTCAAGCTGGCAGACCCCTTCCGGCCCCGCTTCTGTTTACTGACTCGGCAGAAAAAGGGGAAAGCCGGGAGCCGACCCCTCTGTGCACACAATCGCCTCGCTGCCGCCATTCTCCATTCCGCAGCGGCAACGGGGTCCTGCGACCGACAACATCTGTTTGCCGATGCGTCCAAGGACGGCAGGAAGTAGATAGACGCTCTGTCTGGTTAAGGAGGGGGTGCCATCGCAAACAAAAAAAACAAGAAAAAAAAAACTGAGGCACACTCGTTAGGGTTCCGAAATGGCGGATCGTCCGGGGAAGAAACGCGCGAAACGATTGACTAAATCAGTTTACGAGCGCTTTACTCGTAAAATTGAAAGCAAAAGATTATAAAAATCTAATAAAATAAAAAAAACGCCTGTAAGTTTACTTTTCTGCGCAACACGCCGACAGTCAATCACGGCGAAAAATACGAGGAACCCAGCGAATGACACAATACGATAACATGATTAATTCAGAAAAATGCGGTGTCCTCAGGTACAATGAGCAAACGTAAGGTCACGCTCGATGTTTCTGCACACATTTTTTTTTTTTTTAGTTCTGATATTTGCCGGGACCGTAGTATTGTTCACAGTGATTCGTTGTCTCGTGTCCTGCAAAAAAAAAAAATCAATCACAGACCTTTTTTTTTTTTTTCTAGAGCTGAATGACTGAGATTAATAGATGCAGGGCGTAGTCAGGCCCGTACCTTTCATTATCGCCCCCAACCAATGAAATTGCGGGATAAGACGATAAAAAAAAGGTCAACGAACGAATCACGTGGCAGATTTTGTGAACATATAATGAGACACGCCCTGCGTTCGACTGCTCTTTGCCCACCTTGTGCGTTTGTTTAACCTCGAGCAGAGCCGTCTATTGGGGAGAGTTTGGCCAATAAGCGCAGCAAAGGCCGCCGCCAACGCCGAATATTTCTCCCGCGGTTAGAGCATAAACTAAAAGTGCGACACAGCGTCGACCAATCAGCAGACCGCGACGTCGCAATATTGGAAACGACATCTAAAGCGTGAAATATAGAAGCGTTCAAACTCGGCGTCTTGGTGACAGTTCGCTCTGGTTTGGAGCGCACGTTCGTTCATTCTACCGTTGAATATGGACGTGATGAAAACCTCAAATGCGCCAAGTTTTCAGTCACCGAGAGTTATACCTTTTGACTCGAGCGACGCTAAAGCGGCTTAAATTAGTCGAGTCGAAATTTTAGAGCTCATGACCGCCGCTAGGGGCCGTTTCGCGGCCTGTGGTTGACCACGAGATGCTCGCCTATTCAAACCAATAAATGGCTAAACTCTCCCACACACTAAAGAAACCCGTGCGTTTTCTTTGCCGCAGGACACGCGGACAGCTAATCACTCCTGTTTGTGGAATCAGCTCAGCGAATGACAATGCCGAAACATATGTTTAGACCAAAAAGCGAAATCGGCGATGTAGCATTAAGCATGCAAAACGTCACGCTAGCATTGCTTGATGCTACACTCTAAGAAATGCCTTCGTGTCTACTTACCTGCAAAACACTCAAAGAGCCAATCTCTGCGATCTAGTAAATCAGCTCAGCGAATGATGAGGCGGAACATACGTTTAGACCTAAATATGTAGTCTGCGCTGTGGCATTAAGCAATGCAAAGCGTCATGCTTGCACTGCGTAATGCCACAGCGCAGATTTAGTTTTGAGGTCTACACGTATGTTCCCCCTCATCATTCGCTCAGCTGATTTTGTAGATCGCAGAGATTGGCTCTTTGAGTGTTTTGCGGGTAAGTAGACACGCAGGCGTTTCTTAGGGTGTCCATCGCAGACTTCGCTTTTTGGTCTAAACATATGTTTCGGCATTATCGTTCGGTGAGCTGATTCCGCAAACAGCAGAGATTGGCTGTCCGCGTGTTCTGCGGGAAAGAAGACGCACGGGCTTTTTTTAGAATGCAATACACGGCTCCGCCCTCAAAATGCGCACATGTTTTGTTTTGTTTTTTGTTCCCGACTTCAACCAATGACGGCGCGCGCTTGGCTGTGTCGTCACCGCGAGTTCCCTGTCCGTTCTCTGCTATATGCCCTTTGGTTGGTGGTCCTCTCCTTGAGCTTCTATGCGCCAAATGAGCATTTTGGAACACTTGCCAGCGTAGGGATCCTGCATGCGCTATATGTTAACCCATGCTACACTAAAGAAAACTATAGTTTATTGTAACGTCAGAACGGACTACGTATGTCACGTAAAGAAGAAGTTGTACGCACTGTTCCCCTAACCTGTGGCAGGTAGTATGTCTGACGTGGCAGACGAAGGGAGCATCGCTATAACGCAGCACGCAAAGCGGCGCCTGGACATTCTCGACGTTCGCTGTTCTGAGATTGCCTGGCAGAATTTGGAAAAAAAATATATGCCGTAATCGGTAAAAGTGGCCGACAACTTAATACAGTTACTGAGCTTAAGAAAAGCAGGCATCTTGTTTGCTATCTTCGAGCTTTTTGCGTCGGGACTCGCTCTGTACACAATGAGTCCTAGAGCCCTGCATATCCGCGGATTATCCGCGGATATCCGAGAATATCCGCAGTAAACTGGCGATGTCGGATAAAAATGAATCAAAATTTGGGGATTGCGGATCGGATGCGGGTCGGATCAGATATCCGCGGGTTCGAATCTGTTTTTGCCAGCCGCCCATAAACGTGTGCGACCGTACACTGTAGAGTGAATGAGTGAGTGACAGTGTGAAGTGAATCATCGAATGTATTGCGGGGGCAAACTACTCTCATAGATTAAAGGTGCCAATCGGGAGAAAATTGTTCTTTACGTCAATAAAAATTTGTTTCTAACTAAAGATTGCTTTAGAACGTTCTATCTCGCTGCAAAAACTGTTTCTAGAAAAAGCAAAGAATGCAAGAGCATCAGTCGTTCCGGGAAGTGTGTTCTTCTTTGACAGGGAAAGAGCGGTAAATCTCCTTTGGAAAAAGAAAACTAAAACGCACAAACCACAAGAAAGTAGAAGCCTGCAAGTGACCTCTTCGCCTACAAGTATATATTGAGGAGACTGAATTCGATCCTCTGGACTGATGAAACTTGCGCCAGAACGAGTTTCCACACCTTATTCTTGCAGCGCAGTTCGTGCATGCTATCCCAGCATCAAGTGCACCAACGAGGAGAGGCTTCTCACTAGCGAGTATTAATTGAAGAGAGGCGAACCAGGCTGAATCCGTCCGAGGTGACGATATTCTGTTTCTTCTACGCAACAACCTCAACAAGTGAAATGTTGCGTGTTTGTGCGTTTTCTTTTTCTCGACAGTTCGCACTGAGTTGTTTTTAGGTATATGGTTCCGAGCATTCAGTTGAGAGTTCGTATTCAAAACTGTGACCGATTGGAGGTGTTGCCATTATTGAGTATCGTGATGTTTTCCCAGTGGTGTACTCGCGCCTTACCATATGTACGCGAGTATTTTCCTGCTGCGAGTGAGCGCCTTTCCTCCCACTTTTTCACTGTTTGGCCGCAAAAAGATAACACAATTAGCCTGTCCTTTGACAATTTTCATGTTTATAAAATATGCGTCTGCTTGAGGTGGGTTCTACAAAGCAAAAAGGAAAGGAAAGGAAAGGGGGTGGGTGGGTGGGTGGGTGGGTGGTACAGTATAAGCTCGTTATAATATACCTTGAAAGTGAAGAAGATTTTGGTCTTTTGTAAAAGGAGTATGCCGAACGCATATGCTCTTACTACTACAGTCTTTGACGCGCATTATGGCTGGATTCCGTTCTAACCAGTGAGACTGACGAAATATCAATGGATATTAGAAAATAACTGGTTTATCGAAACTAATGATCTTTGAAAAAAAATTTTTTTTTGTGTGTTTTGGGCCATATGAGGCTCATGAGGCACTGAGCACAACGACAGAAGTTCGCAAAATGAATGCCACCGCTACCAAACCAAAGCCACTTAATGTACGAAATAATAACTGCTGTCAAATCCGCTATAATGTAATAGTGAAATACTTACTAACTTTCCAATATAGTCCATTATATCCGAATGTATGTTATAAAAGAACCTGTAATAAGCGAACTTGGCTCAATGGCACAGATAGGAAGACCAACCAAACTTCACAAATAACCGAATATCTCAACTGTAACCGGAACTGTTGTAACGAGGTTATGCTCTAATCTGTTTTTGTCCTGTAAGAATTTTTGTTTCTGTTATTTATACTTGGTGTCAGGACAGTTAAACTCTAGTTGAAAGTCAGTGTTCGGGTGAGTCCTTACTGTCCGTGTTCATCTCTAGCGCTCCTTGGTAATTTTTTTTTTTTTTTTTTTTATGAATAACCTATTTGTTTGCTTTTCCCACAGAGGAAAGGCTCCGCCCACAAAAACCAACGCTCCGCTCAATTCCCAATACGTTTTGTGTGCGCCAATTTAGAGAAGACGAAAAAGGAGCTAGCTAATGTTCTTTCTTTTCTGTTGCGTCGGCAAAATTGTGCGTTACTACTTAGTAGAGTAGTGACGTCACTTGTCTCTGGGATTTCCGGGACGGAGACTTTCCTGCACTTCTTATGTTGCAACAGAAGACTATGCGTACGCGATTGAAAGAATGAGGTGCTGTTTCTCATTTATGATCAAATATGTGCCGTCCGTATCCGTTCCTGTGGCAGCGTAGCCAGTCGTAAGCGGTTACAAGCGGCTTAAAAACCGGTTGTAGCACGATCAGTCACAGTCTGACGGAATTGTGTGAATTAGCCTTTACAGTTCAGGCTACATCCAACCGATGTGACCTTTTCAGTAACTGCGTTTGTTTTTACTAGGGTGTCTTCATGTGAGGTTGGCCTATGATGACATCTGGCCATTTTGTTTCGAACGCGTATTTTTCTTTTTCGTTCTGAATCGCTCACGCGTTCTTGGCGTTGAATGTAATACAACGACATTTTGTTTTTGGCGATTTCTTTGTATTTTCTCTGTGAGTGCAAGCTGTGGGCATCGTGTACTACAAAGGATGTCGACACCCTAAACAGAAGGAGATTGATGCACCCTAGTTCTATAGGGGTCCTCGTGATGACAAAGAAGTTGAACGAGTTGTGCTCTCACACCTGTGCCCTTAATAGCGGTGCGCACTCTAACATAGTCAAACGCTAGTGTGTGAAAGGGCCTTAAACCTCAGTTATACGGCACCTACACCTTACACAGATTGCGAATGCACGTTGCGGGTGTGATATAATGAAGAAATGGAGAAGAATCGCCGACTAAGACGAGGAGGGCTCCAAGAGGGTTTTGACAAAGCTTGAGTTTAAAATTCTTAAATGACATCTTCAGAACATTGGCAGTTATTATGCTTAGGAAAGAGAAAAGGAAATTCGACATCTTTACGTGTTGCAGGACATACCAGAGAGAATCGCAGGAGATACAGGCTGAGGTGTCAAGAAAGTGAAAAAGACAAGGTGGAACGTACCTTCCTTCTTCATTCCAGCTCGAAAACATTTTTTCAGTCGGCAATAGCGACACTGATTCCTCTTGTCCTTGTCCACAACGCAGCTACGATTGAACCGACACGAATACACGTGGTTTTTGCGGACGCTTCTCCGAAAGAATCCCTTGCAGCCATCACAGCTGGCGGCACCATAGTGCTTGCCCGTTGCCCGGTCACCGCAGATGGCACAGAACTGGCTCAACACGGATCCTTGTCCTTGTCCTTGGTTGTTGTACGCCATCTCAGAGTCTGCAAGCAAAACAAACAATCCATCATTGTTCTTGGGGGGTGTAAACAAAAACACGCTGATGACAAGCTGGAACAATTTCTCTTATCACGCTTTCACGTTCCTTTCCTTGCCGAGTTAACTTTGCACAAGCCGAATGATAATGCTTAATTTGAGCTTTCTGGACAAAAGTAAGGGCTCTCTCTCAATTAGAAGGTGTCTTTATTTAACACTATCTCTTCATCTTCTCGACCCTGAGATGGGGAACGATAAAGAAATGGACGAAGACAACAAAATCTCAAACGCAGCAGTCCATTTTTTTTTATCGTTCCCCATCTCAGGGTCTAAAATAAGTCGATTCATTACCAGCTCGCCTGCACTCTATCACTGCTTACAATTCTACTATCTCTTATTTCTTTCAACCTCCGAGTTCGGCATTATCGACCCTGTTTCTTCTAACTTCAAGGAAACACTAAACACCATTAGATACCCAGTTTGGGGCACAGCGTTCAAGCCTTCAACTGTCGTTAATAAATCTGTATAACGAAATGGTGAAGTAATACGCCGCCTTGTGAGATTCATATTTCAAGGCAGGAAAGGATTTATGTATCAGGCTGGGCCGGGGTGGGGGCGAGGGGGGGGGGGGGGGGGGGGATTTGCAAAGACTTGACGTCGTGGGCGAGCGAAACGTTGCCGAGATCAATTTTGTTGATATAACATTTGATTTATCAACAACATTTCTCCCTGAAAAAAGGTGGTGTATATGGAATTCTTAATTCAAATAAAATTGACCTTAGGGGGCTTAGAGAAAGCAGTCGCCCCCCTTCCCCTTCCCCTAGTCCACCCATGCTGCGACCCTATTAATTTTTAGAGAAGTGAGTGTCAATACATTTCACTACTCTAAACTGGCGGCTGGAAGTAAGGTTCGTAAGGTTCGCGAAAGGTAGAACGTTTCAGCAGTTCCCATTTTAAGATGAATCCGTAGACTCGCGCTTTGTGCGGACTGCTGACGTGCGGACCTTGCCTCACTGACATTTCAAAAGGCATTTACGCTGAAGGCCTTTGAAGAACCGGCGTTCGGCATAAATGGCAGTTGAAATGCGTGTGAGGTAAGTGTATCTGTCCAGAGAGCTTATTTTGATTTTAGAAAGGGCAAACCCTCTGCACGTCTTGGCGCAAGTTCGTGACTTTTGATATACTCCGTTTCACCTTATGTTGTACCGCAGCCAAGGCAAGAAGCGCGAGCTCATAGCTTTAGCAGCTGCCTTTACTGCACGAGAGCTTGTGCCGCCGAGATTTGACCCAGAGCAAGGAGCTCGCCCTTATAGCCTTTCCTGTGGTACAACATAACGTGAAACAGAGTATAGTAATTCGCACTTTGCGCCTCCATCTGTATGCCTACGGACGAAATTTTCACATCGTAATCTGCTGGGAAAATTTAATGCATCCCAGCATATGAAACGGGTAGACGGGAAAAAAAGAGCCTCCATGCAAAGGCTATGGCTTCGAGAACCCTCTGTCACGTGCTCTTCACGGGCTCCCTTTTAGTTATCTTCGCTTCTCGACGATTCTAGAGCGTTATAAGGAGCAATACAAAATGTATATATACTAAATACAAAGTTGCGACAGATGATTACTCTATAGACTACGCCTCTTATGTCCTAGTTATTTTTTGACGCCAACGATCAACCCCACATTCGCCATAGTGCACCGCAAACAATTCCAACACTTCGTTGCATGCTACGGTATTTTGCGTGATGTTACTCTACGCAGTACAGTGAGATCCATCTGACGTGCCTCGTACTGACGTGCGCCTTCTCCGTACCTTAACTTCGCGTTGGTGTCGTTTTTTGGGCCAATGGGACACACATGAGGAGGATGCGGCCTTTATGCGTGCTGACCTTTTTGTTTAAAGCCGCAATACAAGACGCAGTTGAGATGACAAACATAAAAGGGCCTCTATTAGGGGAAAGGAGGCTCCAACACCTCCGTCATTTAGCTACCTTTTAGACTTCCGCCGTCTTATCAGCTGTTATAGCAACAATTTAAGGGTTCGCGTGTCGCGGAACGGCCCTGTACGGATGCCTCGTATAGGAGGTCATAAAGCCGACTGATCCAAAGTTTATTCTGATTTCGCCGTTTAGAGATGAAGCGCGTGCAACAACGATTAAGAACGGAAATTGGAGCGCGAGCTGCGCAATTTTACAAACCTAAAATAACCGAGCTTTTTTGTTTTTGACTTTTATCGTTCATAAAATCAGCTATAGCGACTGCAACATGGCTACCCGGAGGTGTATCCGGAAAAATGCATCTAGAAAAATTCGCCTGGAAAGGCCAGCATCCTTTGTCATATTTTATAACTTGATAAACTGAATGGATACAGTGCTCCCAAACTTAAAATGCAAATTTAGTTGCTGAAAGATTTATTCTTTGCCGGTTACCGGAAAATGAACCAGTCATCGGTCCACCTGGGGCAAGGTAGTGATAGTGATCACGGATACGAAATGCCCACCAGTTCGTTCGACCGCTATAGAAAGAGCCTTAAAAGTGCCAAGATCGAGCCGCCTTGTAGCAGCGTTAAGTTCACAAAACATTGTACTTACATGCCTGTCCATCTAAAAATAAAAACCTCTACAAAGTTACGTACTATTTGCCGTTGTTCTCGGCAATGTCTCGTGAAATTTAATAATCGTTTTCTTTAGCACACAGAAAGAATAAGAAACAGTAATTGGAAAGAGGATGATGTTATCCCTCGGGGATTTTCAGCATGGCTACTTCACAGTTTGAGGAAAGGGAAGTGGGGCACACAAAGCTAAGTAGAAAAGAGGTAGGCCATTGGACTTCTGAGTGCACGAAATCAAGACATATCAGTAATTATTGGCAGCAGTTAATCTGGAGAATGGGAGCATATATCACAAAGGATATTCTGTCGAGCGCACAATCTTTTAGCGTGAAAGGTAGCGCGAGCTGGGGCACCGTATGGAAAGACTAATGAAGATTATGGCCGCAAAACGATCAAAACGTCTCGTTCGCCCAGGAAGTGGCACACGCACGTTACGTACCTCGCGTGTTTGAACAACAATGATCGAGGTACATTTGACTTATACGGGGGCTTTGGGTAGACGTACCCTCCATAAGACGGCAGCAGCCTACCCCATTGAAGATCGAGGACGTGGCGAGACAGTTATGCCTCACTTCGGTTGGTATTGCATTTCAAATTAATGCACCACTAAATTCAATGAGTCGTTGACCGTAAGTATTTTTACATAAGGGTAAGTTAAAATTATGACTGATTGCATTCCCTTATGTTCATGTGGCTTGTGGGAGATTTAAACGAACTTAATGGGAAAGGGTTCATTCGTGTTTCTTTTTTTTTTATAATTGCTTGTACAGTCTGAGCTATTTTCAACTTGAAAACTGTGCTTAAAGGTAACAGGTGTTTTGTTTAAGCGAAAGGCCTGCTCGTGTCGCCTAGGCTAGTAAATGTGATAGTTCTTAGCGCCCGTTTTCGTAATCGACTAAGTGAATCTAGGACTCTATACAATAGGTCAGATAACTATGCACAAATGAGAAGTACAGAATGCGCAGAATGCACAAGTCAAAATATTCGCACGTCTTTAATAAAGTGTTGCAGCCATATGGAACATTTAAAAAATATTATTAATTTGACTTTCCAGCGCATATCTGACTCAAAAAGTACATTTCGGTGTTCGTAAGGAGAAACGTGCCGCAACTCTGTACTATCTAGACGTATTGATAGGCCGCCATAGTTTCATTTCTTTTTTTCCTGAAATGAAATGTTGTATACCTAGTCTCGTTTTATGTTAAGTGTGAGTTTTGCTCAGTGTGACTTGATTGTGTGTGAACCATGTAGTACCCTAGACAATGCGTCATTATTTTACATGTGTAAAATAAGTGACGAGTTCGCGCAGCTGTCGACATTTTTCCCTACAACAATTAATGCCGTATTGTCAGCATATATTAGCGCTTCATAGTATTTAGGCACTGTGAAAAATCAGTAACGTAGAGAGAAACAAAAACATGGACCCAAAAAATTAGCCATGCGGCACCCCAGTTTGCACAATTTGCGGGATAGAAATAAAATCTTTCATAATTACGTATTGATTTCTGTGTGCAAGGTTTACTCATAAGTTCCGATATATTTCCTCGAAAGCCCTATTTCTCTAGCTTATTGAATAAACTAGTATGGTTTGCTGTATCAAAGGCATTCCTTATATCTAAATAAACGAACATGGCAATCTTATTATTATGTATGCAGTTTGATTAAGAAACTGGGTTAAAACTAAAACTGCAGAAGAGGTGGATCTACAGCGTGTCCCCCCCCCCCCCCCCCCCCCGCCAAAAAAAAAAAAAAAAACGCATGACCGAACGCTCATTCTCCGTCCAAATGTAGCATTCGGTCCAAATCAGATGCCAATATTTCAGAACTAAAAGTTATCTCAAACAAAAGTTGCAGGTGATTTTCTGAAAATTTAAATGGGAAAAATGTGGCGCGTTTTTGCCCGTTTACTGTCGAAAACGGGAAATTTCGTTTTTTGTCGCCATATTTCCATTGAAATTTTCAGAAAATCGTTTATAACTTTTGAATAAAATAACGGATAGTTCTGAAAATGTGGCGTCTGGTTCGGGCCCCTAGGGCTACCTTTAAGCGGGGAGCGAGCGTTCGGTAATGCAGAATTTATTTTTGCAATAAAAAAAAAAAGATTTTTTTTTTTTTCGGGGAAGGGGGGGGGGGGGGTGAAGGGCCTTTTGTATTTGTCTCTGCCTGTGTTGGTTAGGGAAAAAAATGTCCTACTAGGTTATGAATTCCTTTATGACGTTGCAAAGTATCTTCTTGATGACTGTATTCTTGCACTTAAAAAACAAAATCGGTCTATACCTAGACGACACAGTGGAGTTCCCCGTCCTTGAAGATTGGCACCACTTTAGCTATCATGAGTTTGTCTGGATATATGATCAAGTTTCTAGCGAATGGTTCAAAAGATGAAGACGTGAATGCCCA